TTAAAAAAAAAGCTAAAGTGGATAAAGAGAAATACTTTTAACTGATGGTATATGGAGGGGATTATAATCAATGTAATGAAACAAGTTATATGAATTATTGAATGTGAAACTGATGATGTGCCCTGTAAACTTTCACTCAATCCACAATAAAAACCTTAAATTAAAAAAAAAAAAGCTATACATTCAATAAGGAAGATTGAAGAAGAATTGATGCATTTAAATTACGATGATGAGGAAAAATATTGAATACACCACAGACTTCAAGAAGAATAATTAATCTGTATTTGAAGAAGTACAACTTGAATGCGCCTTAGAAGAGAGGAATGAAACACTTCATCTCATGTACTTTGAACATGTTATCAGGAGGAACCTGTCCCTGGAGAAGGCTATTATGCTTGGTAAAGTAGAGACTCAGTGAAGAACCTTAATGAAATGGATTGGTACAGTGGCTATAACAATGGACTCAAATACGGCAATGAATGAGAGGATGGTGCAGGCCCAGAAGTATTGTATTCTGTTGTATACAGGGTCTCTATAAGTTGGAATCAACTCAATTGCATGTAATGACAACATGTTCCTGACCAATGGAAAATAAAATTTAATACTTGTAATTAACACTACCATCCTTGTTATGAAAATGCAGGCATAGTATTTCCTTCGCTGCAATAGTTGGATTACAGAATTAGTTCATTTTATTGAATTTATATTTTTACTGTTCATTGAAATAAACCAATTATTACTGCTTGTTGCACAATCATAATAATCAATTTATAAAACAGAGGACATATCCTCGAACTTGTTCCTTACTAATTCATTTGGGACTAAGCAGGTAAACAGAAAATCATTAAGACTCAAGTACTCTAAGGTGGGTCTGAGCAGATTCCTCAGCTCATTCTGTTTTACAGATTCCAGAGATCCCTACTGCCACGGCGTTTATTACTGTGCAGGTGAAGGGACAAACCCAACAGTTCACAAAAAGGAAGTCAATGAGCATAGGAAAAGTAGAGACCCTAGTCTTTGTTCAGACGGATAAACCTATCTACAAACCAGGACAAACAGGTACTAAAACCTATTAAGAGTAATTTTAAGTGGTGTGGGCCTTTTATTACTGCATTTTACAGTCATTGAAATTGGAGCATCTTGCTCTGTATTGTTCCCTGGGTTCCCAATGGATGGGCTTATGAGAAAAATCTCTGTGTTTCAGTGAGATTCCGCGTTGTCTCTGTGAATACCAACTTTCACCCTATGGATGAAATGGTGAGTCTCAAAACAGTGGGCAAGGATGGGGGAAAAGGCCAGAAATTTAAGTCCTATTCTTTTGAAGAACTTGAAACCAGGATTATGTTGTTTTTAAGGGCCGTCAAAGCAGTTCTAACTCATATTGACCCAGTGTAGAATTTCCAAGGAGTGGCTGGTGGATTTGAACCACTGACCTTGTGGTTAGCAGTCCAATGCGAAATCTACCACAGATATGCTGGAGGCGTAAGGGAGGTCAAGATCAAGACAATTGATAAGCTGCATTCTTAAAATAAATAAAAAATTCTGTTGAAGTTGCTTAAAATATGACTTGCCAGCTTAAAGATATGAGTTATTTTTATTGAACAACAAAAAAGACAAGTGCATTGAGATTACTTCAGACAAATACTATCTTCAAAATAAGCATATGTGAACTTCTTCATATTATATTTCCCCAATCATGCATTAGATCACAAAAAGAAAGCCATGATTCTTGAGATGTGTCTCCCAAACTAAACATATAAAATACTGTGAACTAAACAGGGACCCTTTTCCTTGTTTAAACAAGAAATAAAGAGATCATTTCCTCTAGTCCTGATACAATTTCATTGCTGCTGTCATGGTTTTCTCTTTCTAAATACATACTATTTCTTTCTTTCTTTTTCAGTTTCCGGTGGTTTATATTGAGGTAGGTAATATACTGCATGTCTCAATTATAATGTTAAATTGCCTCTTTCCTGCTGTCCCATACCATTTTACTGGTGATGGTGGTGGTGATGTGCTGTGGAGTTGTTTCGAACTCACAGCGAACCTGCATAGCGTTTCCCAGGATGTAAATCTTTATGGGGCAGAAAGCCTCATCTTTCTCCCATGTAATTGTTGATAGCTTTGAATTGCTGACCTTGAGGTTAGCATTCCAACCACTACGCTACTAGAACTCCTTTACCATTTCACTAAAGCTAAATGAATACGATTTTCCCTGTCTATCATAAATTATTTGTAGAACTCGATAAGATGTAAATGAGGCAATAAAATCCCCTAAAATGACACAGTTTAGTGACTCTTCGTGCGTGAAGCTCCAGTTCATACACCCATGGGTTTAATTCAAACAAAAGGGGTTTAAACATTCCCTGGCTACCGCATGACTTCAGACAAGTTCCCTCAGTGATACACTTGTCTGAGTCTCATTAGGGTGCTTGCAATCAAAACAGTGCTTCTGAGGGGATCTGCTGGGCCAGTTAAATTCAAGACAGAAGGATCAGCTCAGAAAGTTCTATCAATTGTTTTCTGGGATTCCATAGGCAACTCTTGACAGATTTTCTCGAAAGACACAGGGAATCATGGGGGCTATTATGAAGAAACTTGAAGAAAATTGAAGACTGCAGTGATGAGAAAAAAGATTGGGAAAATTGTGCTGAGGAATTTTTTTTTTTTTTTTTTCTGATCCATACTACCAACCTGATTGTACCCTTTCAGACTTCTTTTTGTTCCCCAAACTCAAAGAAAATTGAAAAGGAACATGATCTGAGTCTCTTGATGATAACAAAACTGCTATTTTGATGGGAATATCAAAGATTACAGATTTCTCAGAGGAAGTGCTTTGTTGTTGTTAAGTGCCATAGAGTCAGTTCTAACCCATAGTGACCCCTGTATAGGATTTCCAAGGGACAGCTGGTGAGTTTGAACCACCAACCTTGCAGTTCAAAGATGGAAATACCACTTTCAGAGTGCATCGATTTATATGAAGGGTATTTTGAGAAACAATAGCTTCACATTTTAATAAAGGTCTTTATGATTTTAGAGCAATACTTTCTGACTTGCCCTAGTATTTCTGACCAAAATAGATAAGCATATATTTTTTAAATGGACCAGCATAAATATTATCTGAATTATCTAATATTTGGTAAACTTATTGCCCTACTTCTAATCTAGAATTCCTAGAAAACTTTGCTAATACCTTGGTGCAACTTATCAAACATACATTATATAACATCCAATGTCATACTTACCTAAAAAGTTGCCCCTCTAATGAAAAGTACATATTTCAATTGTTTACATGAACTCATAATACTTTTTACCTATAGAATCCCAAGATGAATAGAATTTACCAATGGCAAAATCTTACATTGCAAGGGGGACTCAGCCAGCTCTCTTTCCCACTCTCAGTGGAGCCCAGTCTGGGTATTTACAAGGTCATCTTGCTAAAGAATTCAGGAAGAAAAATAGAGCACACCTTCGAGGTGATGGAATATGGTAAGAATTCTGTATGTTTAAGGAATATATGACATTACAGTAATTAAGATTTGATTAGGTTTTTTTACATGTGTTGCTGTTAAGTGCCATCGAGTCAGTTCCAACTCATAGCAACCTTGTATAGGTTGGTGGGTTTGAACTGCTGACTTTGCGCTGACCTTGTGCTTAGCAATTCAATGCTTATACTAAAGCACCATACCACATAGGTGGCTGAAAATTAAAACACTTTTCTTATTTACCTCAATATTTGCTAAGCTGTTTTCTTCATACACTGTCTCATCTATTCCTTATAACTGTCCTCTAAAACAGATACTACAAGTATTTCCATTTTACTAGTGAGCAAATCAATACTAGAAAAGCTAGTAACGTACCAAAATCACAGAGCCAATAAGAGGCAAGAGACTTTTGAATAGGTTCATTTGACCTATTCAAACATGAATAAGTAATTGTGCACTATATGTCTGTTGATCTATGCTAAAAACTGAAGGTATTTTCTGAAATCTCCTAACTACCTGCAATACAACCTGATACTGCTCCAATCCCAGTCATCAGACACATTGGCATCATCTTATTAGCTCCCAGTTATGTGGAATTTCTAATAAAAATTGAATCTTTTATGCTATGGTTGAGGAGTCCTTCCACAAAAATATGATTCCTCACTAGAAAAATCTTTAGAATTATGAAATATGAATTTACAATAGGAATAACGTCTTACACAACCATGGGAGAAGCTGGAAAAGTTAGTATCCGGAAGGGAAAGTTGATCAAAGAAAAGTTATTAACCAATTCTCCTGAACGATTGGCAAACTAAAACACAACGAGTTGCCATCTAGTCAATTCCGACTCCATGACAACAGGTTAGGTGGCCCCATGCGTATCAGTATAGAACTGTGTTGCAGAGGGTATTTAGTAGCTGTGTTTTCAGAAGTAGATCTTTAGGCCTTTCTTCTAAGATGTCTTTAGGTGGACTCAAACTTTTAGCCTTTTGATTAGCAGCCAAGGGTGTTAACCATTTTTACCACCCAGGGGCCATCAGTGGGGATACAGAAAGTGAAGTTTTCAAGGGATAATGAAGTCAGGCACTTCCCCTGCCAGGGTAGACCACAAAAGGGAGCTGATGGAAGAAGCCATGAAAGACATGCTTACTTCTGCATAGCTACCTCTGGCATAGTCATCAGGATTGGCAGTTGGAAGAAAAAAACTTAAACTGAATGCAGAACCTCTTGGTTTTGTGTTACCTTATCTATGATGATCTCCAGAGATTAATCTTGCACTGATTCATAAAGGAAATTCTGGAAAATGTAAGACCACCTAAACCAAATTGACATAATACAAACTGCCCTACGAATGAAAGGCATTTGCTTTCTCAGGAGTGTCCCAGATACTTCTTGTTTGTCTTTGTTAAGTGCTGTTGAGTCGATTCTGACTCATAGCGGCCTTGTACAGGGTTTCCAAAGCTAACAACATGTGCAGGAGTAGATAGTCTCATCTTTCTCCCACAGATCAGTTATTGGGCTTACTCAGCAGACCTTGTGGTTTGCATACAGAGCCTCTGATGCACCTTACTGCAATTTAAATAATTTCATTCAATTCAATTCAAATTATCACTTACGCTATAACTTTCTATAATTGAAACCATTAACAATACTTTGGAAATCTCTGCCCATTCTTACCTCTTTTTCTTTTCTATTGATAACAGTTTTGCCCAAATTTGAGGTCCAAGTGAAAGCACCTGAGACGATTGGTTTTCTAGATGAAGAATTTGAAGTCTCTGTCTGTGGCCTGTGAGTTGGTTGTTTTTTTTCCCCTTGGTATCCCTTCCATTTCCCTACTGTGTTTCAATAGACTTAATGAATCTGACAGTTATTGGACTTTAATATATTTAAATTGAAAAAGAACAGCTTGCCTGATCCTACATTAGGGAGAAGGAGTGATAGCATATAACACTTCTATCTCTTTCCCAGTTGTTATCAAGTCGACGCTGACTCATAGCAACCCATATGTGTCAAAGTGGATCTGTGCCCCATATGATTCTTTTTTTAAAATGTTTTATTGTCAATTATGTGATAGTGTACATGGGAGAACATTAGTTTTACATTCATCCTATCATATATCGTTTCATTGCTATGGTTACAGTCCCTTCCATGCATCATCAACCAACCACAGGGTATACCCTACAAGCCTGCCCCCTCCCCTTGGTGATCAGCACATAGCCCCTCTCCCTCTCTGGGTCTAAAGTCCCCAGCCACTCCATCTCTCCACGTCATCCTTTCTTCCTCCATCTCTGGCGTCACTGCTTCTCTGGGTAGGGTCCAGCTCTCCTCTGTTCTCCCTTCATGGTCCCAGGAACCTCTACTCCTAGACTGCAAAGTTAATCACTCCTGTCCTTGCTAAAAAAAAAGTCTACCTTTACATTTCCAACCCCCACAATCGGTCCTGATAGCAATTATTCACAATTGTATCACAAGAGACCTATCCACATCTCTTTTCATCAGCCCCGCCTAGATAGATTGGATACTACCTAGTGGAGAGCCTACCTTCTTCCATGCCTTCTGGATCTAGGTTCCCTCTTGAAAGCTTGTAAGCCAGTCACTTCTTGCCTTTGAAGCGCCCCACCCCCACCCATTTTGGGTAGCCAGTGTCCAAGTTGCCCATCCCTGTCTACTCTGTGTATGGAGGGGATGGGAATGATCCTCGCTGTTAAGATTTGTTCCCTCTTTTGAGCTACTGCATCCATAGATGTAGGTCAAGTTCATTAAATTGTATCAGATTATTCTTTATTTTTCCCTCTTCTTTCTTCTTCTAGTTGAGTACTAATCATCCAGTCATTGAAGTCAGGTCAAGTGAGTATTATCTGCAAGTAGGTATTCTTGTGCATATACCCTCTCTTCTTATCAGCTAGATGCTTCACTCTCCACTCTAGTCCTCTGTGGCTATGTCAGTGACTCTGGGCCCAAGAGTCCCCAGGTCTTGCCACACTGCTGGCCAACCAGGTCTCCACCCAGGTTCACAGGAGTCTATTGAACATTGTAGGGCTTAGCTCACATCTTCATTGCTGTTTTTCCTTCACTTCCCCTTATTGGT